GCAGCAGCAGCAGCAGCAGCAGCAGCAGAATAAAGGTCTGTGTTACTGAGGGAGGTCATCCTCTGATTACCTTGTACCTGCTGTACCCCTTGTACCCAGCTTTAAATGCATGTATGACAAAATCAGCATTGCTGGAAAGAGCTTAAATGTCAACATTTTCCTAATAATGAATCCTTGTAATTTTAGGCTCCAGAAATATTGTGAAAGTTGAGCCCTGAGGCAATTGCACAGATGCTTTACTAATAGTTGGTTTGGGGTTTTGTTCTTCTGTTTTGTTGTTTTTTCCTTCTTTTTTTGAAAAGTAGCTTTTATGAGCCATGATTTTAATTTACTTTTCTTTCTTTGTGTATTTTACAAGTCTAAATGACAGTTCGTAGCTCCTGTAGTGTAACCACTTAATTTTACCCCATGCAGATGTGTTCTGGATCATATTTCATAAATCATCGTGTTGATACAATGGTGATATGTGCGACATTTTCCTGAGGTTCTAACTAAACATCTCATCCAAACTCCATTGACAGTAATATGAGTCATTCTACAGACTTCTTTTCTACAAATAGTATCCTATAAAGATGCTGCATTTCAAAATTTAGGAAGGAGTAACAAAATTTTATGATTTCTTATGTTTTGGTGTATTTTTTATGCATTGGTATTGAGTAATATGGAGAAGATATCTGGAATTGAATTTAGTGCATTTTTTTGAATCATGTATCAATCAAGAGAAGATTATTTCTTACTAAAGTGTGCTAAGATGTCCTAATCCATAATTTTAAATAAGTTTTTATTCAGAAAAATACAAAAAATGCACATTCTGCTTTTTTTTCCCAAAAAACACCCCTGTTGCCATATTTCGCGTGACTAATTTCAGGTTTAACATTGCAGTAGTTTTCAGTGGAAAAAAAATATGGTTAAAATCTGTCATCCAAGAGGATTCAGCTATGCAATTGATGGTGCTTCTGTGAGACCTCTTAGTATCTGCCGATGCTGGGCTATTAGTGAGAGTCTGCAAATAGGGCTAGGGAACAGAAGAGAGATGGTCTCTGTACTGCAGAACAATGGCTTTTTAAAATGTGGGCTGTTGTCACAAGGGAGTGACCAACAGTGCTTTTACAAGGCTACTTGACTTTTGCATATCCGTTGCTGGATGTCATAATCTGAAATCACAGCATTGTTCAGCAGCCTAATCCTCTTTGTTCTCCTCTAATTTTGCAAGCCCTCAGGCTTTCTCTGATTTCTGAAGTAAAGTACTCACACTTGAAACACATCTTTGTTTGCCTTGTTCTTTTTTCTTCTTTTATATGAAACGTTTTTCTCTGGCTCAGTTGAATTTTGTGTCACAGCTATTTAAATAAAAATAGGCACAGACAAAGAGAGAACAAACACAAAATAAAACTGTATTAAAAAGCTTTCTTCTGTGAAATACAACATTTTTTAGCACAGATCAATATGTTTTCCAAAAGAGCCAGTCGAAGTCAAGCTGGAGAAAGAATATACTGTTTTAAATGGACATGCAAGAAAACATAGAACCCAGATTTAAGCTTCAAAGCTTGAAATTTAAAAATCTTCCTATCCAAGTGTTTTATTCTGTTTGTTCTAAAGACAAAGCAGTAGTTTTGGAAAAGGTTTTATCGGAAATGTTTCTGTGAGATCTGTAGTGGCTCAAATGATGTAATGAAATTTAGATTTTATTGAAAATACAGCACTTTGACATTATTTCAAAGCCATCTATCCTAAGATTTCATTTTAGCTAAAAGTTGGCATGATACAGAAAAGCTTGTAGCTTTTTCATGGTTTTTTGTACATTTTAAACTGTACTGTATATACTTTGATCCCTTAGCAGTACCTGTATATATAAATCAAGTAATGAATTTGTCTGTAATAAATATTGCCAACACAGTTAAAATAAACCCCATAGGCTCGCTGAAAGAGATATGTATTTACCAGTTTCTGAAGACATTACCTGTAGGAGTGAAGGCTGATTCTACAGACTGTGACAATGCATGGAATATAGTAGTAACAGTATTATTTCCTTCCTAGTGTAGTTTAGGTGCACTGGTGACCCATGTAATTATATATA